ACAGATTGCTTGAGCAGCTGCTTAGCTGCAAGTGCTTAATTCTATACAAAGGAAGGCAGCATAAAGAATGAACTGAAGCATGTCACTGCACATCAAGGCAGGATCAAGTCAAATTCTTTGTTCACCATCTATATGCAGATAAACATGCAGCACAAGGTCATGCTGCCGCACATTTGTCAGACCTCATTTTCTACTGGTACTTTGTAACCTTTAAGGAAGCATTTGAGTAAGGAGAAAGGACCATCTTGGGCAATATAGCTACATTCTCAGCAACGCGACCATGACACACCACTGCAACATAAGCCTAAGCAAGGTCCGTCATCTTGAGCCACTCTTACAATCATAATACACAGGCGGTGAAGAACAAGGTGCCCTATGACTTATCTTACCTTGATTACTGGCTTCTAGCCCACTGTCCACTTTCAGGTCTCTTGGACAGCTTATTTTGTGAGCAACAGTGTGGCAGAAAAGCTGTTTGTATTTTTCCCTCTGATCTACCAGAGCATTGTTGAAGGCTCTCACAGCTGGAGTTCATTAGCTGTTGTAGATTTTCCGGGTTGTCTGGCCGTGGTCTTGGCATTGTAGAACCTGATGTTTTCCCAGTAGATGTGAAGATGCCAGTCACAGCTACTGGCGAAACATCAGATCCTACAACGCCAAGACCACGGCCAGACAACCCGGGAAATCTACAACAGCTAGCAGAGTATTCACTTTTATTTTTGCTCAGCAAAATTGAGCTGAAACATCTTTCATATGCTCTTTGAGCAAGTCATTCCCCCCCCCCCCCAAGTTGCAACATAACTAGTCTTGCAGCCAGGTGCAAGACATTGCTTTTCCTTTCAGTTGAGTAAGTTGTAAGAAAAATTTACTTAACACCATTAGTCCAAGGCTTTATCCCATCAATATTTGCACAAGTTACTTCACCTCTGTCATTCTCCTTCCCTTAACATTCTAAGGATTTATAATCCAAACAAGCATTTTTACCTAGTCAGGCCACTGGTCCATCTTATTGGAGAGGTTTAGCAAGTGAACCTGGGACCTTGTGCGTGCAAAGCAGCTGCTCTTCCACCAAGCCTCAATGCCTCTCAATGTGCACAGAGCAAGATGGATAGCACACTGCTGATCAGTTGTTCAGGGCAGGAGGGAACGCTGAATCTAGCTTCTGCTACTCTGTTTTATGGCAGGGCTTTTTACACACACAATACTAGGTAAGCAAGATGAAATGCGCAGAGTAAATGTGCACATAAGTTGCTTCCAGATGTACACCCCACTATGTGGATTGAGGATGCAGCACAGAAATCTGGTGGAAAACTATTATCTGAAAACTTCCAGTTACCGCAAACTCATCCTACGCTATGTTGTCAACCAATTGCACTTACTCCAGTTTTCAGTCATCTAAATGCTTGATTGCTCTAGAACTATTTGACCAAGTCATTAAGGGAGAAAAAAGGTATTCCAACTTTCATATTTTTATATAGCCATATTTATTTCATTCTCAGTCTTGAGTTTATGCAAAGAAACACAGCAGCATCACTAGTTTAACAGAATCCCATTGTCACTGATAAGGTGTAGGCAGACATGCCAGTTATGTCTTCCCAAAAGTTGTTTCAAACAGAACCCATTTAATGCAAGAGGGCATGCCTCTCTAGCTACTACAAGGCATATGGGTTTGGAGACTACAGTTCAAGAACACTTAAATACACATACAGCAAGAGGTAAAAAACCAGGCTCACAAATTTATAAGACATGGATGTGTTCTTCACACAGGCCGTTTAATGACACAAACCAAAGATCACACAGAGGAATGACACAAACCAAAGATCACACAGAGGAAGCTCTTGTTATAAAGTAAGGCTATATTTGGCTTACAAAAAGAACCCCTAAAAAATGTTCTTATCTCAGGCACTCAAAGCACTAGTACCTTCCAGTCCACCAAGAGGTGAAGCGATGGTGCGAGTAAGAACCAAAAATAGAACATTTTAATATTCAATTATTGTTCTGTAAACATAAAAGCCAGAGTCCCAGAAGGCTACACTGATGCTGTTATGAAATTAAAGCAGTATATTTAAATATTGTCGTTAATACCTTAAATATTAATATTTTGTTCACAAGAAACTTAAACGCCACAGGGAAACAGGGTAAGAGCTGCAGAGTGAAGGTAGCTCCCTCCCCCCAAATGAGAAGTCAAAGTGCATTCTACTCAGAAACAGATTCCCATTAACCCAGAGGAGCCCACACTTATACTGCCACTCAATGGCTTGATCTTCAGAACAGCTGAATCAGAACTTCATTTGCGTACAGCAAGAACTGGGGAAGGGAGACAAAACCCCCAACCTTATAAGCATAAACAAGGAAAATTCTTTGAGCACTACTTACTTTCAGAGTTGTAAAAAAAATAAGACATTCAGCAAAACATAGATGCCACTTTTAAACACTCCATTTTGCAAAGATCTCATCCGTAGGCCAGTTTGCAAGCACTTAGTAATGCAAGAAGTAGCCATTCTTTTGATGCTACTTCATAAGTAACCAGTGGATACAAAACATGTACTTTATAGTCTGTTTCCACAGTGAAACGTAGCTTGTAAGGAGATTACATACATTTGGCTATGCACTCACTGCAACACATCTTAGACAGCCACACTGCCATTTTTACTGTGAACATAGCTACCTTGCACATTACAGCAGCTCACTACAAATACAAATGTAGAGAATAGTGTTCACTATCCCAGAATTTAGGAAAAAGCATGAACTTATGTAGTCGCTTGCAAGATGGGGTTCCAATATTCTCACATCATGTAATCAAGTGTAATACGCCCCTCCCATAGCTGGAAATGTTTAAAGAGTTTGGTTTTGTTCCAAAGAGTGTACAAAATTACCAGTTTCCAAAATCTTACTTGCAAAAGCAAAAATGAAGTTCAAACAAGCTGTTGCATAATTTGTTGTAAAAAAATAAGAATTGCACAGGGCACATCTTTAGTTGCTTTCCTCCCTTAATATACAAGAGTCAACATTTGTGCTTTGGAAAGAGATGCAGCATGGAGTTTTGTTTGAAAGAGCTACTTGTTAAGAAGCTATTACCAAAGAATACACCGTTAGTTGAGATCAAGCATTAGGCCCACCACAGCAAAGACCAGAGTTAAAACACAAGTATCTTGATCTGGAACTCGTATCATATTCTAAGACTATGGGAGATACAATCCCTTTTTAAAAAATGAAGTCAGCCAGTTTTTGTAGCAGAGACCAAAAGGTTTAGCTGTGAGACCTAAAGTTTAAATTATGGTGACTTTTTCTGCCAGTCAAGATTTGCACTGAAACAGCTATGCCAGTGTTGTAGCCATGTCAATACAAGAAAACTTCCAGAACTATTTTGCAGCGCACACCCAGTTGCATGAGAAAGAGACAAAATGATTACTGCATACTTAAAGTAACGAGTGAGACACAAACTGAGATTATTAACTGACAGGTGACATTTAAAACCAAAGGAACACAGAAGGCATTGCTAAATGTACTTGATCAGTTTTACAGGTACCATTTTATAACACATTGTAGGGCATCAACTGTGGCATAATTCCCTACCCCCCACAACAATAAGGCTTGACATCAACACTACTGAGCAGTGGGGGATGCAGACCACCACTTAAAAATGCTAATTAAAAGAAGTGCAAATTAGTGAGGTTCTTTATAACTGAGTGAACAAAATTTCATTTTCACCATCAAGTCATTCATCACCTATATGCTGCAAAAATTTTGAAAATATTGTAGCAAGGAAGAGTAAGTCCCAAAATGTCTTCATTGACCTTGCAGTATCTGGTACTATAGTGCTTATGCACTTATCTGAATGGTGGTTCTGTGTGGAGAGAAATTCAGTCAATTCTACAGTGCCTCTCAGTAAGGAATCTCAGAATGCTTTAAAAATAATATTACCATCATCTCTATGAGGGAGGAATCATCCCTATCTTAAATAGAACAAAAAATGAGGTGAGGGAATAGGCTGGCTGTGCGATCCAGAAATGCTTCGGACAGCATCTTTGCACTCAACACCTGATTAGTCCCTATAAATTCAATAGGACTGAGATGGTTTTACTTTAAGACATTTGCGGATTGCACTCAAGCCACTTGCTCAAATTCACAGCAGCAAATGACTGGCAAAAACCATTTATCTCGTTTTCCAAACAGACTGCATCATTGGGTCTTGGAAGACCTACTAGAAAGGTGTTGAGACTGAACTGGGCTACAGTTCTCTTCACTACACAAAAGCTGTCGTGGGTAAAAATCAACAGCACATTGCAACAGCTGCTTCAGAGGCATCTACCCTGTGTTTTGTTACAACAAACATTTCAATGGCATATTAACTTTAGTTTAATGGACAAAGCGGGACAATTTGTAAAGAAATATATTAGTCTTTAAATTTTCACTGCTAAGTTCTACCTACTACGTTTGGTGCCATTCTGAGGCTTAAAAAAAGAGTTATTTCTTTAAACCCAGAAAACTAGATGTAATCCAGTTTACAACAGACCCTTTGCATTTCAGCAAATCACAGATGACACTACTAAAACAGAGACCAGCTCTGGATCTCTAATCCCAGCATGACTCCATTAGAGTTTAGAAAGTTCTATTAAATTCTAAAACCTACACAAATTTAATCAAGCTTTATTGTTTTCAAATAAAACACCATATGAGAAGGGAGGTGGAGACAATGGACAAGCTCCTAAAAGGATACATTCAAATTCAGTTTGAATACTTAACCTTGTCCTCCAGGGGCCATTGAAAATAAACCCAACAGAATTTTTTTTGCAACTAATTTTCAGTGGATCCAGTTTTGTCACCTTACTAGCTTAGTACAGAAAGGAGATTTTTTCCAACAAGCACTGAATATGCTTTGATACTACAACTGACACTGTCCAGTAGGCCTGCTTATGAAAATGTTCACTTTCTCATTTACTGAAGGTCTAAGATTCCCTAAGCATTCTTTTTTTATATACAAAAGTTATATAGTTTTGCCTTTGGTTTCTTCTCCTCAAGGTTTGTAAAATATACACACAAAAATTATGGGTTGGACCTCTTCAGCTAATGGCAGAACTTTCACCCAGGGCACCTTCTCCACTTGGACAGAAGTGTGCCTCCATTAGTAGAACAGACCCACAGGTCCAACCCAATGAGCAGCCCAACACAAATTCCACTTTTTAGGACTGATGTGTACGCACACGCATTTTAATGTTAACTCAACAAAATGCATCTTGGCTGAAATGTTGAAATTGGTTCTCCAGTCATTGCAGCATTGGTGAATTTTTGTGCTAGTCATCTAAAAGTGAATATGAACATACTATATGAGGACGGCACCATGATGTTCTTCCAAACAGGCAGCCTAGATTTAAGCACTGTGACAAAAACAGGGACTTCAGCAATTACATTACTTTGCAACTTGTCTTTTCAACAATTGTCTCACTTCTCACAATCAACCTGTGGTTGAATCCAGATTACAATCCACACAATATTGTACATTACAAAGATGATTCAAATTGTTTGTTAGGGTCAGAGTCCGCCTCTAACTTTACAGAAGGTATACACTCAGATTTAGTCCTCCGGGTTTTGTGGTGTGGAGAGTCAATGACTATTTCAGAGCAAGAAATACTAATACCAGGAGATTTGTCTGTCTTCTTCTGAGCAGGTTTTTCTACAGCCCCACAACATTGCTTCAGAGCACACTGGGTTCTGCAGGGAAGTTCACATTTGCCTACACCTATCTCAGAGCCGACAATAGGAAATTCAGGCTGAACAGTTGTTGCATGTATCCCTTCATCATGAAAGATCTCCTTAATTTGCTTTGCTACTTTCATGTACGATTCTGGATCCTGACATTTTATATGAGCAGTGCCAATGATCCTGCTTCCAGCCAGTTGCCAAACATGCAACTCATGCACAGCTTCAACTCCATCAAGTTTACGGAGTTTCTCATTTAAAGAGCGAATATCAATTTGCTTGGGAACAGTTTGCAAAAGGATAAGGGCTGATTCTTTAAGCAATGGATATGTTGTATAAAGCAGAATGCAAACCATTATCAGACACAGTGCGGGATCCAAATATAGAACCCAGCAGGGCCCAGCTACATGAATGCTCTCTAAATCAGTTGCATTCATATTCATTCTGCTTGAAATCTGAGTAATGTTTTCTGAGCAATGATCATGAATACATGGGTTAACACAAGGCTCATCCTTGGGACATGGGCTCCAGTAAGCATAAAATACTAAGGCGTTCACCACAACAATAACTGATCCCAAGGCATCTCCAAGAACATGCAAAAATACTCCACGCATGTTGAGCTGGGCACTGTGGTCTAGTTCAGAATCCATATCTAAAGAGCGATGACTAATACTCCCATTTGGGTGAAGTTCCACTTGACTGTCTTTTGCCATATCACCTGCAATGAAAAGAGCAAAAACAGTGTTACAGTCCAGATTTCTTGCAGCATCTGTACGTGTCAGCCTTTCAACTAGGCTAGCACACTGATAGCAATATTTCGACAAAACCAGCATTTGAGGGAGGCCAGTTATGGATAGCAGTCCCCTTCACATAACTATGGAATCACTAGTATATGAACTGCACATGCACCACAGAGAAATTATTTCTTACAACACCTGTGTAACTCCCAAAGGCTAAGTCATGAAAAGTAGCAATACTTTGCATCTACAATAGTAACACTTTGCATTTTATAACAGCAATCTGGAACCTTTTAACTCTCAATACCCATCTAATACCAACTTGCAACATGGGATGCACTTGGCCCCTCCTCCAATACCCAATTCTGGAAAACTAAATGTAAAAAGGCAACACACACCAATTGTGGAGCTGCTGCTAGTGTTTCTTAATTTGGGTTTAGCATACAACCCACTTTGTGATTCCTGATATACCATGCGATACGCAATACTTGAACATTCTTTGAATTCTTTACAACAGACCTGTACATTAGGTCATTAGGATCTCTGTACTGCAGCTGGTGAGGCTGAAAGAATGACCTCCTAAAAGTCATTCAGTGAGTCTGTAGCAGAGGAAAATTTGAACTTGGGACTTCCTGGTTCACAGCTTACCTTAATCATTATGCTATACCAGCTCTCAATAGTGTGCATTCTTTGCAGGATTTTAATGAGTGAACTAATGCAATCATAGATATACCTAGAGGTTAAAGG